AAGCGAGCATCTTCACCAAATTTTATTACTAGTGCTAAAATTGTTTATGGGTGCTGACTTGTAGCATTGTGTTATATTTGACTGTTGTATTTAACTGTTCCATTCAAAAAGGGACTTCCTGTTTAAGGGTATTTGACATTGTCATGCATTTCCTTTAAGCTTTCCTCTGGAGTGGACACACTTGAAGACCAGGATGAGAGGAGGATTCAGGATAGCTTTATTGAGACAGCATTTCTGGACAGTAGAATTGCTGTCAAAAGTCTGGTCAGGTCCGTGCCGACAATTTTATTTTTTTTTCTTGACTGGATAGCTGGAAAGTTCAGAACTCTTGAGTATCCTCTAATACTTTGAATTAATAATTGTGATTCAGGTGACTGCATGCTGGTCTGCTGCTCACTTGCAAGCAGCTTGAACTGAATATTAAATTGTAACTGAAATACTAGTCATTATGAAACATTCAGGATGGATATATTTTCGTTGGTTATTTTCTCTAGGCATTATTGTGTATTCTTTCTGGAAACTTAAAACAGTAGCTGTATTTCACAGGGTAGTAACTGGGTAACCTTAATTGGTTGGTGATACAAGAAGTATGTGTTCAAGGCAGAGCCATGTTTGTTTTATCCCAGATTACTGGTCTCATTAAAATACCAATGCCCACCCACCCCACTTAAAATCGGATTCAGTGTGGGTATTTGTATCATGGATGCACGCACACTAACCAGGACTTTCCCAGTCCTTTTAGCTGGATTTTCCTACTCACTTGGGAGTGCTGGCAAACTACAGCAGTGTCAACCAATATAGGGTCTTGTCATAGAATCAACAAGAATTATAGAATGGTTTGGGTTGGAAAAGACCTTAAGATCGTCTAGCTCCAACCCCCCTGCCATGGGAAAAGAGCTTCAAGATCATCAAGTCCAACCATTACCCCAGGACTGCCAAGTCCACCAACCACTAAACCATGTCACTGAAGGCCTCATCTACATGATTTTTTAACACATCCAGGGACGGTGACTCCACCACTGCCCTGGGCAGCCTGTTCCAATGCCTGAGCACCCTCTCTGTGAAGAAATTGTTCCAAATATCCAATCTAAACCTCCCCTGGTGCAGCTTCAGGCCATTTCCCTTGTCCTATTGCTTGTTACTAGAGAGAGGAGACCAACCCCCCCCTCTCTACAACCTCCTTTCAGGCAGTTGTAGTGAGCAATAAGGTCCCCCCTGAGCTTTCTCTTCTCCAGACTAAACACCCCCAGGTCCCTCAGCTGCTCCTCATCACACTTGTGCTCCAGACCCTTCACCAGCTTCGTTGCCCTTCTCTGGACCCGCTCCAGCACCTCAATGTCTCTCTTGCAGTGAGGGGCCCAGAACTGAACACAGGATTTGAGGCGAAGCCTCACCAGTGCCCAGCACAGGGGGATGATCACTGCCCTGGCCCTGCTGGACACACTATTGCTGATGGAGGCCAGGATGCCGTTGGCCGCCTTGGCTGCCTGGGCACAAGCTGCTCATGTTCAGCTCCGTCAATCAGCACCCCCAGGTCCTTTTCTGCCGAGCAGCTTTCCAGCCACTCTTCCCCAAGCCTGTAGCATTGCGTGGGGTTGTTGGGACCCAAGTGCAGGAGCCAGTACTCTGCCTTGTTGCTTTTCCATGTGTTTTCATGTGTTGTTTTCCATATGTTTTAAACTATGCGTTTTGGTTAGCCCATTTGGGATTGCTTAGGAGTTGCTCATTTGTAACTCTGGCCAGTTGTAGGACTGGCAATTCTTTTGGCAATTTCATTTTTTTTGGGACAGAGGAACAGCAAAAGGTGTTGAGAGTTGAGGATGTGTCATATTTGCAAGGAATGTGCTGGGTTTATTCTTGTGTGTTTTCTATTAAATGAGTCTGATGACTTGAAGAGAACTGGTTTTGGTTTGCTTTTGGTTTTTTTCTGGCATAGTTTTGCTAAATTAAATCTGACTGTAAATCCTTTAGCTTAATGGGTGTTATTACTTATAGTTCAGTAGGGATGCTAGAAAAATCTTCTATACGTCCTTCTGGTTTGCTGTTTGGATGTGTACGGGTATGTGTCCCTGATTGCCTATTTGGAGCCTGTTGGAAAGGTTAAAGCAGATCTTACCCTACTGACAGAAGTAGTTTGCTGACAAGGGTTTGTTTGTTTGCTTTTTTTTACTATTGTGTAGAAACAATGATTAAAACTGTATTCAACAACAGTCCTTTCATTTGAAACCTTATCTTTCATTTCTAAAGTATACCATTTGCAGGGCTGGTGGCCTTTTGGCTGATCATGTTTAGCATGGTTGTGTGATGCCTCATCAGTTTTGCAGGATGCATCAGAGGACAAATATAAATGACCACTTGTTCAAAAATATGTGACCCACTTAGAATTGAGTTTGTTTTCTGACAGGTTACATCCCAGTCATAATTTAGTTACCAACACTAAGACAAGCTTTAAACTGGGTTCAGCATTTTTTGTCTCATTGTCTTCTAAGTTGGGTATGTTCCTTGTTGGAAAGAAGGTATGAATTGTTAAATACTGGTATTTGAACCAAGAAAATTCTAACATTGACTAACAGAAAGATCTTGGCAGTCCAGTAGAGTTTCCAGTCTCTTGTTCTTTTACATGTAATAGCTTAATGAATAAATTTACGTGCTTTGTTGTGGAGCTTGCTCATAGAGAGCAATCTGTAATAATGGTAGTAATTCCTATCCGTGTCCTCAGAATTGGAACCACTTGCTGCTAGTTCTAGGGAAAAGGAAGAGTGGAAAAGTGGTGATTGTTGAAAGGCAGAGGAATGGATTTGAAAAGAGAACAGATAGCTAACTGATTTTAGAACAACTGCAACATTTCATTGATTTTTTTTTTTTTTTAATTTTTTTTTTCATCTGGCCTTTAGTATAGGAAGTGAAAAATCACATAAATATTTTAACAAAGTATGTAGGAGAGAAGCAAAGTTGTTTGTCCAGAGTTAAAGCTTGTGCATAGCACAACAACTGATCTATTGGCAGTACTCCCCAGTTCCAGCCTATGTTACCTTGTGATTTACAGTCACTGCTTTTGTTAGCCAACTTTTCTCATTGTCCTGTAAAGTTTGGGGTATTTCTTCTCAGTGTGGTCACTGTGCTATAATGTCACAGCAGCATTTAGTGGAATTACTGAACAGAGTACTGACAAATGTGGGGGTTGGATATCCACTTGTTGTTGCAAGAAAAGGAGTTGTTAGACCTTTCTTTCATTCTAAAGAAGGTATACAGTAGTATTTGTGTCCACATCATCAAACAAGAGGATTATTACACGTGAGAAGGAATCTACTGTAGTTCTTTTAGACCAGTGAGTTTCTCCTTGATATAATTTTACATTTTTTTCTGAGTGCAGAGGCTGTCAGCATTTTCTTACTTCTTGTTTTTTTGGGGTACACCGCCATGTGGTAAACACAAACCGTTTCTTACTCTTTTCAAGTATGTTGGTGAAAATAGGTCCACATTTAGTTATATTGGATCTGGATCTAATGGACCGCTTTATATTTTTACTTTTGCAGTTAAGTAACATTAACATGCTTTAAAATTTTCTCCTGTTAATGTTAGGCATGCAAACATAGTTGATAGCTACTTTGGAGAAGGGGTAGTACGCAATAACAAAGATGAGCATAAGCGACTCAGAGCACCTGGTACTGCAGTATGGAAAATAAATTACACAATAGTTGAAAAAAATTAGATGTTATTTTATATTCAGATGTTCTGGAGTACTTGTGAGTGCTCATTTTTATAAATTAGCTGTTACACAGGACTTCAGATAGTGCTAGAATACCTGGTAGCTCTGCCACCACTAAAACTGGAACAATCTTGTTAATACTCCTGTATGAAGTGAATTGTATTTAGAGTGCTGTATTTTCTTTGATACATTTGAGCTTTCATCTTGGGTTAGAAGCTTTTTTTCCCCACAGAAATGCCTGAAAAACCAAAAGCTTCTCCTCTGAATTGGGAACATATGTCAAACTGCATTTTGGGACAGACACTAGGTTTCATCTCTGCTTTTGTGAACTTCAGCCTTTGGACTATGGAGACTAGTTCAGGCAGAGCTCTGCACCTCTGTAAAGGGGAAATTCTGGCAACATTGGACTTTTGAAGTAGAAGGGAATAATCAAAACAACTTCTTGAGGGTATTTCTGGCTTTTATTAAGCGTTGTTTTCCCCTGAAACTGGTTAAAATTTCTGATTACCCTCAGCATAATCTTCTAATATAGAATACTCTTCTGGCATAACTCAATTGTAATTTGAAAGAATAATTCATTTCGAAGGTAATAAAATAAACCGAACTGTGAGGCTTTTAGTAACAAAGGAAAATTAGATGTGTTATTATGGCTTCAGGTGACCTTTTTCTTTGTTCAGGATAGCAGGAGAAACTGTTTAATAATTGTTTTGGATGCTGCTTTCATTTTGGTCAGCAAACACAGTAAGCAGAACGTCACGACAAAAAAGGAAAACAGTGACCTTGGACTCAAAAGC